ACGATATGTTACGCAAGCCTCACGCCGTGTGTGGGCTGTCTCTTATACACATCTAGATGTGTATAAGAGACAGGTGTGTGGGTGCGTGTGTGTGTGTATAATATCCTCTTCCCACCCCCCTCCCCCAATAGTGGGTGGTAGAAGATGGTAAAAATATGCTTTTTCAAAGCAGTGTTCCTCTTCAGAAAATTATTGACTTCCTCTCGACGGGAGGTATGCTCTCCCTCTCTCCTCACGGGCATCGAAAAGGTCTAATCAAAGACCTCTAGTCTGTTCTATACTGGGAGTCGTAAAGCAAATTATGATTTTTGTACCTCTAAATGCCCGGAAATGACACTCATTCAGACTTAAAATTTGATTACTTAATCTCCATATTTAAAAAAAATGTTTACAAATGCATGGGTCCTGGCCGGCTGGGCAACCCACCCCGCTGGATTAATATGCTATATGTCCTACAGTCGATGTCATTGACACATTATGCTGTTTTGTATCAGCAAAGCCCTTTTGGATCAGGGTAGGACCCTACTGGACAATATGGGTAGGGGCACCGAAGGGGCCCCTAAGGATAAGTGGCTCTTGGAGCAAATATTAAGAATAGGCCCCTCTAGACGCTCGGAAATGGCACTCTCGGACGGTAAAAATGCTTTTTCAAAGCAGTGTTTCTCGACAAAATTATTGGCTTCCTCCCGACGGCAGTTATGCTCCCTCGTATACTCCTCCTCTCTTAGACACCTGCATCCTGGGGTGGATGCAGGATTTGGGGGTAGGGGGTGCGTGAGGGTCCACCTCACTGCCCCCACCATGGTTGGGCCTGAAGGAATAGACAATTTTGAGAATAGGGACCTCTCAGGCGTTGATCCAGAGTTTTAGCTCGGTTTCCAAGTATCGCTCACCCTATCGCAGACAGTCGTGTCAGTTGTCGTTCACAAACGAATCGGGGTACCTTTCCGATTGCGCAGGGCAGTTAGCAATGCACCCTGATTCGTCTGCGTCTGCAACGCATTCGGAAAAGTTGAACCAGGTTCAACCTTCCGATAGGGTGAGCGATTATATGGAAACCGGGCTTTACCCTGACTATCGCACATAATGGGTTCCCTGAGTGGAGGGGAGGGGGGTGGTTTGCAGTAGTCTGGGAGTTCTCCTAGCTTTGCAGAGTTTTGTTATTTCTAAATGCTGAGAAATGTACTTACGTGCATTACGAGACTTCTATTGATGAATGAATACACACTGAATTAATTAAGTACATTCTCGACTGTCATGAAAATATCATATAGGCCTATCTAAAAAATTACGTTATATGCATGCTCGGAAGCGGACATTTTAACCCAAAAGTTTGATATATGTTTCATGTTGTTTGTTGAATGGTCTTTAATGATATTATATTCTAATATGACCACAGCATAAGGAAGAACACTTTGTCACCTACAAAGTTCAGACACATATACATTTATATTTCCTTAGGCCTAAATCACAAATAAGGCCGCTCTTTATCCAAATTTCAGGAAATATAAGTTTTATGCATCCACCGACGTGGGAATTTTGTTTTATGTTGTTTGCTGAATGGTCTTCTTTAAAAATATAACAGTCAAATATGACCACAACACAAGGAAGTTTATTCGTTAACTGTTTAGTAGATAGCACAGTAAATTATGATTGTTTATCAAAATCATTATACACATAAGGGTCGGTGGCCTGTGGATTTTCGCACGAGAACGCGTAGGCGTTACTCCATGCTGAGCATGGGTAGCTGTTCTATAGCTGGGTACTGTACTATATACATTCCTGCTAAAAAAAAAACTCTGTCTTTAGGTCTCCGCCTTTTGGCCTTTTTACATCCTGATTGATGCGTCGGGGATAATAGCGTTGTGTTCGTTGACAATCAATAGAAAATTCAAAATTAGTGAGTGGTAAAATAATCGAGCTCTCCTTTCGCCCTCTGCTGAATTCGTCACTGAACTCATGGGTACACTTCCTTTTTTTCCCCTCTTTCTTTCTTCCTTTTAACTCTTCTCAATTTTTTTTTATTTTTCGGCGTGACTGACGGTTGTGGGAGGAACGGGCCCCCGTGGCTCCCCGATGGATCCGGGCCTGAACCTACCTAGGCATATAGGTTGGCAAATCAGACAAACTATGCTTAGCCCAATTAGCCTTCAATTAAATAAAATTATACAGACTGTTTTTGGTTCAATGTCGTAATAATGTATGCACGAAAGTGAGTTCTACGCAATATTCTTGGAATATAATAATATATTGCTTATGTCTTTGATTTATTTCTCTATATAATGGCCTAAAGAATGAGATAAAATTACCTGATCTTTTTCATGAGGAGAAAACATTGAATTTTGAAGAAATTAAAGGTCATTAAAAACTACTCAGAAGTCGGGAAAGCTCATTTTCAGCCATCCAGGAATCCAGGACCCCTTTTTATTGGGGGTTTTTTTGAGACATTTTGAACCACCCTCTTTCATATCCTGTATCCGCCCCTGGCTAAAGTGCATTTCCCTTGTATTTCGAAATTGTTTATAAGTACACAATGCTTTAACCAACACACCGTTAATCAGGGATGCAAGATGACGTTGTGTATAATCAATTGATAAACTTAACGTTTACTCGTGAATTTGCTAGGTACAAAAACGTAGGCTAACATTTCCAAATCGTTATTTTTGTACTTTTTGAAAAGCGTACACACACCTTCAACCCCCTCCCCCAGCGTACGTTTCGTACGTTCGTTAAAATGGTGAAAATAATAGATGACCCCTTACCCTGGCACATGTTGCGTATTTGCTATCATAGGCAGCCTTGCATTGGTCGTCGCTTGAGACACCGAATCCCGGATGAGACTCGCCGGGAAGATGCAACACCTTATCGTGGAATGGCTCATCATGTAGACACTTCGCTTTACTGTACATTTTTTTTTTTAATTAAATAAAAAAAAATTAGAGAAAATTACTTCGTATGAGAAACATCAGTGTATCAGTTTATAATGTATATAGAATACTATAAAAAACATACCAATGTATTAATATAAAAATTAGCCCCGATGAGAGAATATGTAACAATTGCAATTCTGGTGAGGTAGAGGATGAATTGCACTTCTTAATAAACTACACTCAATATTGTAACCATAGAAACACTCTATTTTCGAACGTTAGGGATGGTATAAACAACTTTATAGCTTAAATGGTTATGATAAATTCATTAGTCTCATGAGTAGTCAACATTTTGACATCTTGCTGCCACTCCTCAAATTCACATGAGCTGTTTTATGGAGAGGAAGTCTCTGGAATTGCTTCTTGTATTGTCTTGTTGTAATTGTATTTCTTTATGTTGCTTTATCAAGATGTTCTATGTATCAATAAAGTAACCATTAATATTATTAAAATCATCATCATTGTTCTCGTCATCGTCCTCCTTATCATTATCGTTATCATCAATACCATAATCATCATCATCATCATCATTAGTCCTACCATTATTATTATTATTAAATTACCATTAGGCCTATTACATTAGTATCATTATTACTCTAGTTGTATTATATGTTATTAATATCATTGATAATATTATAGTTTTTCTATTGATAGTATGTTATTATTTTTATTATTATTACCTTAGGAATGGTTAAATAGTTATTAAAGTTTAATAACAATTAAAAAATATATATATATTTACGGTGTCTTAACAAATTCCTCAAAATAATCATTACTGCATTCAGACCATGGATGTTGACTGTATGTTGAAGCAACTTGTGGTGACATAACGCTCTTTTGTGAAACATCTTTTTGACATGAATTCCATTCGAAGTCGTCATGTTTTATACTTAATCTGAAATTGAAAGTAATGATAATGGTACGAGTATGAACAGTAAAATACTGATGGATTCAGGCATTACGCTTTATATTTAGCAACAGGAAGTAAAACAAGTCAAACCAGGGGCCGGACCCAAAGGGCCGTCAGGATATCGTAACAAAATCCCTGGTAAGTTTCATGAGGAGAGTTTATGGTTTAGAATGACCCTAAATAATATTGTGCTTTTTAGACCACAACATTATCGTCAACAGTACTATTAATGTGAATATCTCACAAACTTACTCCTAAAGAGGACTACTGATAAAATACTAGTATACAGCTTTAGCAGGGCAAATCTGAGAAATTTATGTTATTTATGTTTCCTTTCTATCAAAGAAATGTATTAAGGATTTATTCAAACGAGGTAGGCTTTTGAATAAAAACGTAGTATCACGTGGCACTTACAAGTGACCGATTTCATGAGCAATAACATATGCATTTCTGTAGCCTCCGTCTCTTACAATAACGGTACTTTCCAGCATGCTACATATTCCACTCGTCTTTGCATAGCCTGTGATAAAAGAAATAACATTTATTTTTGTATTTCTGGTTAGTATTTCCACTTTGCTTGCAGATAGATGCTACTGTTGTCGTTACGGTAAACACAGTACAGTTGATCACCACCGTGAATTGCTTACGAGCAGTGCGTAACACCTATGAGTTCTTATGCCAGGCACGTACACTGCGCCCGACGACGGCCGTCGGCCGACGCGATTCTATGGGGAACGCAACGCCACGAGTTTCACTCAATGGATCGTTTTTAATGACGATCCGCTCAGACTGCCACCAACATTCGGCAGACGGTGTTGAGGGGGTGAAGATGGATTCGTCGGCCGACGGTCTTACGACCGCCGTACGGCGCAGTGAGTTCCCGGCTTTAACTGGTTAAATCAGGGGTCCATGTGCTAAAAGGAGCCTCGAGATATTAATCATTTTTCTGGTAGGACCATGCACCCCAAATGCCGTTCTAAAGGTACCCCTAACCGGGTAAAGAGACATCAAAATGCGCCCTTAAAACGCCAGAAACGCTTGAGCGAACAGGATTTTCTCCTCGTATACCACCCTACTGGGGGCCCTACGCGTCACCAATCCCATCCCATTGTTGTAGGGGCGCCTTAGACTCTTCGTTACACCACTGCTCATTATGAAACAAATGACTGTTCTGTGCCTTTGACGTTTCCCTTTTGAATTCATATGATATACCGTACATATTAGTACCAAG